CCCCACCTCCCCGATCCGGTTACCTACAGCGGGCGGCCTTCTGCTTCGAGCGGGCCGCGGTGGAAGAAGGGAACTAGATCGGAGTGAGAACTGGGGTTCCTCGGCGTCCCCGACTGCCCCGCTCTTTCTGTAGGGCCCAGGCTTGGCACCCCTTATGCCAGTGGCCTGTGGCCCAGGTCCCTGTGAGCAGCACAGGTGTGAGTGCGCACACGAGCCCTCGACCTGGCCACACTTAAGTTTAGAACAAGTTCAGGAGCCCAAGTCCGGACCTGGATGTGGAGCCTTAAGTTTCCCCAGCACAGCCATCACCTTCCAGAACTGACACCATGGTTTGTGTGGCAGTGGGGCGAGGCCTCTGGTCCTGGTCTGTTGGTCTATTCTGGATCACTCAGCATTCTAATGCCTGGGGTTCCAATGGCTGTAAATATATGCCAAGGAGCAACGCACACATGGAGGGAAACTAACACATGGAGAAGTCTTCTTGTGGGAAGGAAAAATAATTACAAAGAAAAGGTTAAGCTGCCTCAGAATTTTTGAAAGTCATTAAATCTTAGCCCTTAGAAAATACCGTTGTATACCGGCAGTTTTTGTTATTTAATTTTTAAGTTAATAGTGTGAAACCCTAAATTTGTTCAATCTACTAATACATGAGTCAAACCCAAAGTTCGGTGAACAGTTGGTTAGGGGCAGGAAACTGTTTATTGAAATGAAGGTACTGCAAAAACCTCCAACATATGGCCTCCAGGATAGTCTCTCCGTTTTTTAAAAAATGCTTTTGTAAAAAATGTCAAAAGTGATTACAGTTCCATACACATTTTGTCACAGTTCAAGTAAAGGGGCAGATAGTGGTGCTTTCACTGTGCATGTTTGAATGAGAATGGCTATTACTCCTGACATCATATTTATTTAGTAATAGCGGTTCACAGCAATGCTGCTTTTTCCCATATCCAGTGGCAGAAATGCTAGGTCCTGACTTCAGAAAGCTGAAATAAGTACTGGGTGGCCTGGGGACTGGAGTACTGGTTGAAAGATGGAGTTGGCAGAGGGACAGATTGGGAGATGGAAGGTCCTCACCAGTATCCACATCACAGTCTGAATGTTAGGCTGCTTTGAAATTTCCTTTGCCAGATTAATTAGTTCACTTCCCTTAATCTTAATCTCCTGCAAAGTCTCAGGCCATGAATAAATGTAGACAAATTTTCTGCTAGAGTGCATGACTTAGGGTCCAACTGCCAGTGGAATCCTTGTTCTCCACTGAAGCCACCTGAACCTGATCTTTACCTTTTGCCTTTTTATCAGCATTCTTGTCTTGTGGACTCTGACCAGAATCTCCCCTTAATTTCATTTTACAACATTCTAGGGCTTCTCTAGCCAGCATCTCCAAACTTCCAGACTCATCCTGTGAGCCAATAACAACGGCTTCTGAACCATATAGTCAGGAAGTGTCACAGCAACAGCACCACTTTTCTGGCATCAAAATCTTAGCCACTTTCTTCACCGCTGGGATAAAATACCCAACACTCACAACTTAAGGAGGAAAGTTTTATTTTGGCTCAGTCTTTGTAGAGATTTCAGTCCATAGTCATCTGACTTCAAGGCAGGAAAGTATGGCACGGGGACATGTTGGTGGGGAAGCAAAGAGAACGAAGGGAGGAGCTGAGGTGGAAGATAAGCTGTTCCAGGCCACAACCCTCAGGGGCCAGTCTCTTTCCTCCCAGCAGCAAGTTAGCAATAAGCACCATAATCCAATCACCTCCCAAAAGCCCCGCCATGAGTACATGTGGCTCCTTGGGGCCATCTAGATACAAGCCATACACATTGGTAGGCCAAGACCATGGCAGTAGTATAGTTTGGTGTCCAGTGAGGCATTAACAAATCTGTGTGTGCTGAAATTAGGGGAACTGAAAGTATGTAACTCACTGTTTATTAGGTGATTCAGAATTGGTTTATCTTAGTATTTTTTAGTTTATCATTGAGTAGAAATACTAATTTAAAATACTCCAAAATATGCAGACCAGACCCACAGGAGACTGTGTGGAGACCGTTATGTTTTACTAATAAGAAAATAGAAACTTGGAGAAATACAGCCACTCGTTGAAGGAGAAAGGAGTTCCTCATTGCAGCAACAGGAAGTTGAAGTGGTAGCATTAGATCAGTACTTGGATTTCCTTGCATCTTCCACAGCAAACCTCCCAGGAACTCCTCTGAGGCTCAGGCCCCTGAACTGTCTTGTCCAGGCCTCTTTCTTATCTGTCCCACGTGATTCAGATGACAGCCATTTCCTGGTCCTTGGCCCCTTCGTGACCCAGATCCCTACCCCTTGCTGGGTTACCGTCTTATGCTCAGTCTGACTAAACTTAGCTGTGGGTGTTCCTCTTGCTTTATAAGCACATTCAAAGTCTTCGTGGTGCCCTAGAGACTTATGGAGGTGTCGCCTCACTGTCGTGTTGGCAGGGACTGTTGGCGTAAGGGCCTCAATCCTTCAGAACCAATCTGGCAGAGTGGCCACTCTTATCACCACACGGCAGCTAACTTCCTTCCGAGCAGTCCAACGACAAAGAGCAAGGCTAGGTGTACATAGCGTTTTGTCACCCCGTCTCAGAAGTGACATAGCCACATTCTATTGGTTAAACACAAGTCCTTCAGTACAGCCCACAGGGAGCCATTTGAGAGCCAGTGCACTTCGGTCTGCCTCAGGCCACCAATGATTCGCTTCTCTCCCACATGCAAAATGCCCTCCACCTCCCTAAGGTCCCCAAAGTCTCGGCCTATTGCAGTGTCCTCCCAGACACCATGTCCAGGTGGGGATGAGGCTTTTGGGAACAACCATGTTGTTTTGCTGCAACATTTAGCAGTTTAAACAGCTGTCTTATCCCAGCAGCCACCCCCACAACCTGCGCTCACGTGCCAGTTCTGTGAATCAGCGGTGTTCCTTTTTTGGTTTACAGTGCCATCTGGGAGATGGGGGAAATATTCTTACTTCACAGAGATAATGTGGTGGTCACATGGTATCATTTCTTTTAAGTAATTAGCACAGTCTCTAGCAAGTGCTGATGGTCATGTTACTAGAATCATCATTTTTGTCATTTTTCCAAAGAAAAATTTTGAAAAGCTTTCTTAGAATATAAAGTATGCTGGGCATGGTGGTACATGTCTATATTCCCAGCACTCGGGAGGCTGAAGCAGGAGGATCACTTATGAGTTCGAGGCCAGCCTGAACTACATAGGGAGACCCCATCTGACAAAAAGAGAAGAAGAAAAAAAGGGAATATGTAGAGAAAAGAATAATGATAGACCTCAGGTACAAAAGGTAGGAATCCAACCTGAAACTCATAGTGGTTCTTTAAGGAGTCCAAAGGAGTCAGAAATAACAATTAAAATTTTAAAAAAACCAAAAACTGCTAAACCAACATTTTGATTTGCTGATGTAGGTATTTCACGTAAGCAACAATATTAGAAGCCGGGTAGGGGGGTGGCAGCGGGAGCATAGGGAGCGGCATGGTTAGATGCGGTCTCATGGTGAACACTTCACTTCATGGTAAATGACTGAATCTGCTCGTGTCATCAGACCTACACGTTATGCAGACCGGACCAGCACAGTTTGAAGAACAGCAAAGGGAGCCTGTGGCCACGCTGTCTTTACAGTTACCCTGCAGCTCAGGGACTAGAGCGCAGCCTGGGCCTCAGCAGGATACCCTTCCCTGCTGCACCTGTGACCAGCCTGTCAGACCAGGCCCCCTTAGCTCCTCAGTCCTGTCTTGATGCCTCACCCGAACCAGGCAAACAACGGCACCAGACTGGAGGACACCCAATGGCCCTTAATGCTATAAATGGACGGTTCAAAGCCAGAACTGTAGAGCGATACCATTCAGCTGTGTTTGCAGTGCTTGGCAGGACTGGGTTCAGTAAATGCAATTGTTGTGTTCATGTCAAAGAGGAATTCCAGTTGTAAGTGTGCAGCTCACCGCCCCCCAGCCTCCAGCCCTGACTTGCCTGCCTCCTTCTTGTTCTCCACTATAGGCCAAGTGTAAGAACCTGGAGCACATGCTGCGGGAGAAAGCCAAGACTTTCTGGGCCATGCGACGCTCCTATGAGAACATTGCCAAGCACAATCAGGTGAGTGAGGGCTCGGGCTGAGGGGGGAGGTGGGGACACCCAGGGAAGTTGGCATCGCTCGGGGTCCCTTTTGACTCAGATGGGCTTCCTTGGTGCTGATGGCCTAGCAGAGCCAAACTCTTGGGCACTGGCTGGACTACTCTGCCTGTCTGAAGACTGGGCATGATCACACCAGCAGCCACAGGCATGGCCTGAAGGGCCACCTAGGCTGTCTGTACTGTGGCTTAAGAATAACTTCATCACATACACATCGCTATGAACTTGTGCTCAGGCTAATGAGTCTCCTTGGTGACTCCTCATTTCCTTTTGGTCCCCACGCCACTCCATGAACCGTCCTGTCCCGTCTTCAGAATACACCAGGTCTATCAAACTACACTGCCCGCCGGCCGCCCTCCTGCTTCCTCTACACTGGAGTGGTCTTTTGGAAAAGCATATCGATTATGCCACTCCTTTCCTTAAAACAGCCCAGGGAGCCGTGCATGGTGGTATATGCCCATAATCCAGCACTGGGAAGCTTACGCAAGAAGATTGCAAGTTTAAATCCCAATTTAAAAAAAGAAAACAAAAACAAGACTCGGATTGCAGCACAGTATGAAGGCCCTGGGTGCATCTCCAGTTCTGAAATAAATAAACGAACAAGCTGCCTCGTGGTCTTTCAGAGTGTAATTCAGACTTTCCCATGGCTCCAAGGCTGCTGTTTGCCCACTGCCTCCCCCTTAATCATATTTACTTCTTTACTCTGGCTGCCCTGGCCTTCTCTGTTTCTTAAACTAGGCATGTCTGCTACCCAGGCCCTATCCACAGCATCTTTGCCAACAAAATCCCAGCTCCCATGTCCCTTCTGAGAAGCCTTCCCCAATCACCCCAAAGGAGCCCTTCCCTTTCACTGTCTTCTTGGTGTGTGTTCCCCAAGACATTTTATTGCCTTTTGATCTCCTCTCATCTCAGTATAAGGAGAGCAGGCACACAGTTCATTCCCAGTATCTTGAAGTTTAAGTGGCAGTAAGTGGCGAACTCCATGGTCAGATGTTAACGAGCCTTTCTCTGAGCCCAGTCCTTGGCTTTGGACATACAGGCACAGGAGGGCAGTACCCGTGGCAGTACCGAACAGCCAGAACCAGGTGTGTCTGCGATGGCTGGGATGAGTCCAGCAGCAGAGCAGAGCCAGGGAAACAGTCACAAACAAGCTTGCCTCCAGGTGAAGGGACGGCAGGAGAAAGGACCCCCCAAAAGACCTACTTTCAAATCTAAGCTTGTCTCCAAACAACTCCTGTCAAACTAATCCTCAAAAGGAAAAGAGGACAATTCCTTCTTTCTGCAGCTTTTGTTTAAACATTCAGATATGATAATATGTAGACACAGCTAACAGAGAGAAGCCACCCAACATTTCTGGTGAGTCAGGGGCCAACAAACTGACTTAAGAAGGAATTTGCACTTTTTCAGAGAATCATTTTGCCCTGATCTATCAGACCTATAAACATATACTGCAGTTCTCTCCAAGCATGTGATCACCACCCTGCCATTTCTGGAGGACAACTTCAGAATTGTTTTTCTGGTCATCATGGAATCGTGGGGTTCTCGTCTGTACTTTGACTTGATTTCTTCTGTAGCCAAAGCCACTCGATTGGCTTGATGTGAACAGGACTAGGTTGAGGGAGGCATTATTTGCCCAACCCAGGCAATGGAGGGCTCTGAGGGTTTGTGTAGAGAGGCATGAAGCCTCTAGACTGTTGCTTTTTCTGTTGAATTCCATGAGTCCAAGTCGATGGTGACGTGTGCATCTCAGTGTTTACCCTTTACTGTGAGGTTGTCACTACCATTGGTGACAGAGGCTGGAGTTGCCTTGACACTTGCTGGATTTTTCTGCCTCATTGTGTTCTTTTGCATCCTGAGAGGTAGAATTACCTGAGATCCTACTGTGTCTACCACATATGTTATCAGTCCTTTTAGCCTTAGTTTCATGTTAACTCTTCTCACTTGGATTTCTTTGATTTTTGGCAAGTTTGTACCTCTTTTCATAATACAGTAAGTCCCCAACTTATGAACATTCAAGTTGTGAAATTTTACAGATAGGAACAGACCTCACATTTGTGAACATTCATGGATGTGAACAAATGTCAGAAGTAGCTCACATGTGTGCCGGACGCTGTCCCAGCTGGGTTGCTGTGTGCTCACTGTGCAGCGCCATGGTGGGCGGTGCTCGGTCAGAGCCCGGGATCCCCGGAGCAGGAGGAAAAGCAAGGATGATGTGCAGGGGACAGCTAGGAAGCAAAGCAAAGCAATATACATTCAATATTTGTATCAAAGGTGTATAGGATTCACTTTGTCAGACTTAGGAATGAATCCGACTTTAGATGTTCTCCCAGAGTGAAACTTGGTGGTGGGCTGGAGACTCATTGTACCAGGTTTTCCAGTGGATACCAGTTTATGCCCTCCCCTCTTTGTGGGTACTGGGAATTGAACCAGGACTTCGTGCATGCTAGGCAAGTGCTGTGTCACTGGCCCTAACCTATGTTCTTTTTTATTCTTGGAGTATTTGTCTTTTTTCCTAGTAGATTGGTAACAGTGTTTTTATACATTAATGCTATTAAGTTTGTTGTAGATATTTTTCCTTATTTGTCATTTATCTTTCCCTGAGTAGTTTTCACTTTTGGGGGCTTATTTTTGGTTTTTCAATGAATTGTTTCATCACCTTTTCACAACTATAAATTTATATTGAGCTTTTAGTCCCACAAATGAGATTGTAACCTTCTATAGCTAGAACCCATAGTTTGAATTGCTTCTCCAATAGTCGTCTTAGAATTATGTGTTTTACTTTATTAATAGTCTTGTTACACAGAGTTTCTGATGTTATACTTGTATTCAGTTATTTCAGTCTTTCAGCCTTTCCAGTTTCATATTGTACTAAAAAATGTCTTCAATTCCCAGATAAGAAATACTTGCTTTTTCTCAGAGTATGTGTTTGTCCTCAACTTAGGTATTTTGTGGTTATGAGTTGGAGTGTGCATGTTAGAATAAAGACTTCCTATTAGTTTAGCAAAGTCTCTGGATCAGACAAATTAAGGTCTTAAGATTTGTAGGTAAATAACTTTTTAAAAATGGTTGCTATATGGGCATGGTGGTGCATGCTGGTAACTCCGGCACTTGGGAGCCTGAGGCAAAAGGATCACAAGATTGAGCCCAGCCCAGACTGGGTAATTTAGCAATATAGAGAGACTCCATGTCAAAACATAGAAAGGGCTGGGGGTGTAGCTCAGTGAGAAGGCCCTAGGTCCAATCTCTATTGCCACAAAGTTAAAAAAAAAAAAAAGTTACTTGCAAGAGCCTGGTGTAGTGGCATTCACGTGTAATCTCAGCATTTGGGTGGGGTAGGATTGTGAATCTGAGGCTAGTTCAAGGCTAGTGAGACCCAGTCTCAAAAACCACAACAAAAATATTGCTTTTATGATAATTCATTTCTGTGATTCAGTTCTCTTGCTGTTGTTCAACCAAACAAGATACAGAACATTCTATATTAAGGTTATACGATTAATGGTGTCATCTGTAAGCGGTGATTTTGTTTTTTAAAACTTCATCAAAACAACCATTTAACTTTCTCATTTGAAACCTAAGCTTATAAATGCATGCTTGTCAAGTGTTACGTTGTTTTATCTCTAGAGACTGCATGGGATTCCTTTAGAATGTAGAGTTGCTTACTGCAGTCTGAAGGTCACTCGCTGAGGGACAGCTGAGAATCCCACTCTTGGCCTTCTGTGACTCCCTGTTACAGGTGGAGGGTGCCTGGCTGCAAAGCCGCATCCGGGAGGAGTTTGAGAAGCTCCGTGAGTTCTTGCGGAAGGAGGAGCAGGCCACCCTGGACGCCATGACCAATGAGGCCAGACAGAAGCAGCTCCTGGCTGACCAGAAGATGAAGCGGCTTGAGGAAGAGACCGAGATGCTGGCCCACGAGATTGAGCGGCTGCAGGCGGAAATGAAGGAGGATGACATCTCTTTTCTTATGGTAAGGAGCTCAGCATCTGAATTCAGGGACAGAACCCAGTGTTCAGGCACCAGGCAGGAGACGTGGCACCAACCCTGGCCAACCCAGACTTCCCATGGCCTGGCCCGAGAAGCCATTTGCATCAGAGGCTGGGAGGACTGAGCAGAGCAGAGCCTGAGAACCTCTCATCTCTCTTCCCCTCTCTCCTGCACTCACTCTCATTCTCATTTTTCTTGTTGTTGTTCTTTTATTTATTTATTTATTGGGTTTTTTGGGGGTCCAGGCTGTATTTGTTGTTCTTTTAAAATTACTCAGTTGTTGAAATTTTTTATTTAAATATGATCTCTTGGTATTTTCTCTCTTTAAAAAAAAGATCGATTTTATTCTCCCTTTCATAGTTGAGTTCAATTTTTTCTTTACATTTATTGGTTTTACCACTGTTCAAATTTTTGGAACTTGAACACTGGTAACCTGAGTTACCTACTTTTCCGCCCGCAGACAGCTGACATCTCTGGGAATGGAGTCTGTCCAGCCGAGTGGGGAGGGTCAGAGCCATCTTTTGTTTAGGCAGGGTGGTTGTCCACCTCCTAAAGCCTTGAACCACCGGGTCCCTGTCTCTGCAGTGCTCGATTATAGAAGCGCTTGATGGGATTAAAGTTGGGCTCCTTGCCAGTTCTGTTTAGGGAAGTAGTAGTGTTGTCCTGGAGTGTGCTTCCAGGGATGCTTTTGGCTTGTAACTATTTATTGTTGGTGTTATGATACAATTTGCATACTGTACCATATAATTTACTCTTTTTTTTTGGTACCAGGGGTCAAACTTGGGACCTTGTGCTTATGAAGCAGGCAGCAGCACCACTGAGCCACATCCCCAGCCTTACTCATTTTTTTTTTGAAGACAGGGTCTTACTTTGTCACTCAGGTTGGCCTCAAAAGATCTTCCTGCCTTAGTCACTTGAGTAGCTGGAACTAAAAGTGCTTACAGCCACTCTGGCTTCATTCACCCCTTTAAAATACGCAGTTCACCAGTTTTCAGTAAGAGTTGTGCAACCAACACAGCTATCCATCTTAGAACATTTCATCATCCCCAGAGAAGGCCTGTACCCTTCAGCGATCATGTCTCAATCTTCCTCCCCCAGCCACTGGCAGGTAGCCTTCTTTCCAGATTTGCTTTTTCTAAACCCTTCTCATAAATGGAATAATGTAATATGTAACCTCTTTTAACCAGCTTCTTGTATTCAGCGTAATGTTTTGAGACTTTACCCATATTGTAGCATGTCAGTACTTGTTTCTTTGTTATGCCAAAGAATATTCCTTTGTATATTTTGTTGGTTGTATTGATGGTCATTGGGTTGTTTCTACTTTTGGCTTTTTTTTTTTTTTTTAATTCAGTACTGGGGATTGAACCCAGGGCCTTTGCCCTGAACTACATCCTTAGTCCTTTATTTTTTTATTTTAAAACCAGGGTCTCATTAAGTTGCCCAGGGTGGGCTCAAACCTGCTATCTTCCTGCCTCAGCTTCTTAAAGTGCTGGGATTATAGGCAGGTGCCACTATGCCCAGTTTACCTTTTGGGTTTTATTGATAATAAACATTCATGTACCACTTTTTCATGGACCTGTTTTCATTTCTCTTGGATATATATCTAGGAGCAGATTTGCTGCACCTAGAGTATCTCTGGCTTAAGTCTTTGAAGATTTGCCAGGCTGTTTTCTGAAGTAGCTGTGCTGTTGTATATTTGCACCAGCAGTATATGAGGAATCCAGTTTCTCCACACCCTTGCCAATTCTTTTTCCAGTAGCTGTGCGTGAGGTGGTGTCAGTGTGCTTTAGATTTGCATTTCCTGATGACTAATGCTACCGAGTATCTTTCATGTGCCTATTGGCCATTTGTAGCTCTTCCCTGGAGAAATGTCTGTTCCATTGTTTGTCCACTTTTAATTGGGTTGTCTTTTTGTTGTTTGTTTGTAAGAATTCTTTATCTCTTTTATCCACTTTGAGTTAATTGTTTATACAAGGTCAGGCCCCGACTTTATTCTTTTACACCTTAGAATCTACTTGTGCCAGCGCCATTATCTGGGAAAGACTGTTGTCTTCCCTGTTGAATGGTTGTGGCTCCCTTGTAGATAGTTGACAGTAAAATTGCAGGATTATTTCTGGTTTTTGACTTCTATGTCGTTGATCCATATTGTCTATTTTGGGGTTTTTTTGTGGGATAGTCCTGAGGACTGAAACCAAACAAAGGCTCATTCTGGAAGCACTCTACTGCTGAGCTACATCCCCTGCCCTTTTTATTATTTTTATTTGAAGACAAGGTATCACCAGGTTGCTCAGGCTGATACTCCTCCTGCTCCAGCCTTCTGAGAGCTGGGATTACAGGTGTGCGCTACCATGCCTGCCTGTGTGTCAGTGCTGCTTTGTCTTAATTACTGTTGGCAAGTGTGAAATATACAACTTTTCTCTTCTTTTTCAAGATTACTTTGTATATTCTGGGTTCCTTGAATTTCCATCTGAATTTTAGAGTCAGTGTTTTAGTGCTGCAAAGAAGTCACCTGGGACTTTAGGGATTACAGTCAATCTGTGTACCAGTTTAGGAAGTCATAGGACATCATATAGCAGTGCTAAGTCTGATTCGTGAACGTAGGAGGCATGACTCTTGGAGGTTAGAAACTCACACACTTTCTGTGTCTGTTTTTTTCCTTCAGAAACACAAGAGCCGAAAACGCCGGTAAGTTGCCAGGACTTGTGGAGGGGAGGGAAAGAGCAGGCAGAAAAAACAGTGGGGCAAAGTGCAGTGGCTCCAGGGCCAGGCAGGTAATGCAGCCAACTGGGTGGAGCCCGGAAAGAGTGGTCGTGCTGGCTGGCAAGGCAGTGGACAGTTGTCTTCCCTGTTTGGAGGGTCATCACCCACTATGTGGGAAGGAGAGTGCCATGCACATGGCTCATATTTCTCAGTGGTCACCCAACGTTGAGATTTGGTTTTTTGCTGGCCTTCTCGCTTTCAGCCTCAGGACACTGATGGCTGTTGGGTTCTCTGGGATGAATACAGAAGAACTGTGTCCCTTTCTGGACTGCTCAGAGACCAAAGAGAATGCTTTGGGTGGTAGTGAGTTCCCTGTCCCTGGAGGTGTTCAGGAAAGGCTGGGTGACACTTTGGCTCTGTTGGAGCATTGTTAAAGTCCTTTCCAGTCGGACATCCTATGGGAAGATGCATGTGATATCTGTCCACAGGACGGCAGCCAGGAGAACCTGCTATTTGTATTTCTCACAGCTAGGGTAGGATGAGCCTTCTGACCAAATCCTGAAGTGGTGTGGCAGCCACGTAGGCTCTTGGCCCAATCCAGGGGATTATTTTGGGGAAGATGAAAAAGAAGGTTAGATCCAAGGCAAGGGGACAGACAAGTCCTGCTGCCCATGCCTGGGATGCCCAGCCCGGTGCTGCACACCATGCACAGTCCTCCTTTCCCAGGCTCTTCTGCACCATGGAGCCAGAGCCTGTCCAGCCAGACATGCTCATCGATGTCTGCAAGTACCTTGACTCCCTCCGGTACCGCGTCTGGAAGAAGATGATGACATGCGTGGAATCTGGTGAGGGATGCGGGCAGGCGATCCAGGCAGGGAAGCACTGCACGCTGCCAGGCTCCACCTCATCTCCCCTCTGGCTCCCTCCAGCCTCTCCCAGGCATGCCGGCTACTCCTCCCCCTCTTGCCCGACAGGTCCTTCTCCTTCCTGGGCAGGACCTGACCCTCTGTCACCACTTCAGAAAGACAAACTCCCCTTCCTATTCAGAACTGTAACATTTATGATGAGGGCCCGCATCCAGGACCACCTCTCCCAAGGTGACACAGCCTATTCCATCATTACGTCCTGCTGTGTTGGGGAGAGGAATGTCATTCTTTCCCGAGATGCTGCTGTCTTAGGAACTTTATGTGTCCCTCCTCTGTTAGTGTCTCTGGCTGCTGTAACAAAGGACCACAAACCAGGTGGCTCAAAATGACCAGAATTTATTCTCCCAGTCCAGGAGGCAGACGGGCTATGTTCCCTCTAAAATTTGAAGGGCAGACCCTTCTCACCTGGTCTAGCTTCGGGTGCCTTCAGGCATTGTTAACTGTCCCTGGCTTGTGGCTGCAGCCTCTTCCCTCTGTCACCTGGTGCCATTCTTGCCGCTGGTATCTTTCTCACTTTCCCCCTCTTCATAAGAACACAGTCAAGTAAAGGCCCCTACTACAGTCTGAGTTCATCTTAACTAATTTCACTTGCCTTGACCCCACTCCCAATTCAGGCTGTATTCCGAAAGTCCTGGGGCTCAGGACTTCCTACATCTTTGGCAGGGATCCATTCCAACCCTTAACCCCATCAGCTCGGGCAGTGCCCTGGATGCCTGGGCAGGTGGGACAGGTGGGTGGTGCGCAGCCAGCGTGGCAGGAGGGCAGTGTCGTGTTTGCTGACTCCTTTCTTCCCGTTCTGCCCTCAGTGCCTTTCAGCCTGGATCCTAACACAGCAGCTGGCTGGCTCTCGGTGGCTGATGACCTCACCAGTGTCACCAACCACGGCTACCACGTGCAGGTGGAGAATCCGGAGCGCTTCTCCTCGGCGCCCTGCCTGCTGGGCTCCCGCACCTTCTCCAGGGGCTCCCACACCTGGGAGGTGGCCCTGGGTGGGCTGCAGAGCTGGCGGGTGGGTGTGGTGCGGGTGAAGTTGGAGGAGGGCACAGATGGCCACTCCCAAGGCTCCTACCACGATATGCGCTCTGGCTTCTGGTACTTGTGCCGCACCCAGGGCGTGGAGGGGGACCACTGTGTGGCCTCGGACCCGGCCACATCACCCCTTGTCCTGGCCATCCCACGCCGCCTGCGTGTGCAGCTGGAGTGTGATGAGGGCGAGCTGTCCTTCTACGACGCGGAGCGCCAGTGCCACCTGTACACCTTCCACGCCCGCTTCGGGGAGGTGCGACCCTACTTCTACGTGGGGAGTGCACGGGACGACAGGGCCCCCGAGCCTTTGCAGATCTGCCCGCTGCGAATCAGCATCAAGCAGGAGCTGGACAGCTGAGCAGGCTCGAGCCTCGTCCTGATGCCCACACGGGCCTGGGTGCCTCTGCCCGCTGCCTTCAGGCTGCCTTCTGTGCAGCTCTCTAGTCCTTTCTGGGGCTCCAAGCCCTACACCTGTCTAGTTTTGGCCCCTTCCCTTCTCAAAGTTAAGAGCCACCCAGGAGGCCCCTTGTTGGCCCAGGCTCTGCCAGAGTTGTGGCACCTTCAGGGTGTGAATGTTCTGAACCTCATTCCAGGGCTTCTGGAGATAATGTTTGCTTCTGGAGTGGACCTGTTTCACAAAGTAGGTTTCAGTATTTTCCGGGATCGGTGAGGCCGGCCATCCAGATGATGACTGCTATTGAAAATTATTTATCACTCGGTTCCCAAGAGGATGTAGCAGGCTCTGCCACATAGGGCCACCCAGGGAGGCCCTAGGGCGTGTCAGGAGGCAGGGGGAGCAAGGAGAAAGTATAGGCAAAGCCTTTGTTTAGTTTTCTGGGAAGGAAAGGCAGGGCAGGGGAAGCGGGGTGCAGAGGCTTAGTATCGGCCAGTCTGAGTGGTTACCTCAGGTTCTGGGGGCTGCCCTGCAGGACTGACACTGCCCCAGAGAGCCCAGTGAGGCAGACTCAGGAGGCCGTGGGGCGGGGCTTGGGCTGGTGAGTGTCAGGGGATTGGCTGGCCTGGGAGGGGCCAGTCACCCATGGGGTCCCCAGCTGCAGAGCTTCAGGAAAACCGTAGATAAAACAGTTAATGCAGGACCATGCTGTGGCTTTAGGACCCTACCTGGGCCTCTGCTTGGCTGTTACCTTACATTACTATTTTAAAACTGCTGCAGAAATCCCACTGAGCAGGCTGAGGCAAAGCTTCCTGACCTCATCGATTAGCTCCCATGTTTCTGTTTATACTTGAATGGGCAGCTTCCTCAGAATTTAAGAGTTCTGGAGCACTGGGCCTCGGTTTTCTCCCCTGTGAGATGATGGGACTGGCAGACAGTGTCCTGTAACTGCCGCGGAGGAAATTCCTCTGCTTGGTTCTTTCCAAGGTCTGAGAAGGGAAGGAAGGAGGAGGCCCTTTTTAGTTAGGAAGAAGAAACGGGGTGCACTCAGGGGGGCCCACGGCTGCAACCCCAGAGCCTGTAGAGTGCCGTGGAGGCAAACACCCTCATCATCCTGCCTTCTTGCCTTCCTTTGCTCTTCTCTGCTGTGTGCCTCCCACCTTGGCTCTCCCAGGCCTGCCGTGGTCTCTGTGTGGCCCACTGTCCCCGGAGGTGGGGTGGTAAAGGCATACGTTTCCCCGGGGCTGTTGGGTGCTCAGGTCCAGGAAGGCTCCGTGCACTTCTGGAGCCCAGCAGGTCTGAGCGCGTTTGCCTGTCAGATGCAGTTTCTGTATCGCAGACATACCTGAAATTACTTTGTTAGAATAAAGTTTAAAAATGTTTTTATTTTCACTTTAGATGTAAGTTTGTGTTTGTTTTTTTAATTAAAGATAATTTGATCTGGGTGTGGTGATACACACCTGGGATCCCAAGTTCCAGGCCCAGCCTGGGCAACTTTGGATAGCCCAGGCTTTTTCACAAAAATTAAAATGATACATTGTTTCTTTTAATGTATTTCTTTCTGTGTGCTCGTTTCAAGATCATGTAGCATTTATTTATTCTTTTTTGTAATATTGTATTGAATGGAATTACGTGGCATTTTATTTTTTAGTTGATGGGTTTTGGCCGTTTCCAGTTTTGGCTATTATAAATCATGCTGCTATGAACATTTGTATGCAAATTTTTATGTGAACATGTCTTTAATTCTTTGTGGCAAATAAACACTTGGGAATAGATTTGCCAGATCACTTTGGCGACCCATCTTTTGAGGCACAGCCAGGCTGTTTTCCAGTGCAGAGGAACCACATTCTGTTCCCACCAGCACTGTGCAGAGGTTCAGGCTGGCTGTCCCTGCCAGTTCTCCTCTTCTGATTTAGCCACCCTGGCAAGGGCGGTGGCATGGCTCACTGTGGCTTTGGTCTACATTTCCCCGGTGGCTGATTATATTGAGCATCTTTTCATGCGTTTGCCATTTGTGATCAGCTTAGGAAAACTCCAGAGCCTTTGCCAATTTTTAATTGGTCACATGTCTTTTGGTTCTAAATACAAGTCTGTTTATCAGATATCTGACTTATACAACTTTCATTCTCTGAGTTGTCTGTCACTTTCTCGATAGCCTTTCAAATCTAAAAGTTCATTTTTTAATTTTAATGGTGTCCAATTAATTTTTTTCTCTTGTTTGCATTTTCTAGATTTTTATTTTATTTAATTATTTATTTATTTGGTGATGGTTCTCGGAGTCAAACCCAAGGACACTACCACTGGGCTACATCCCCTCCCTTTTTATTTTGAGACAGGTTATCTCTGTGTTGCCTAGGCTAGCCGGGAATTTGGGATCCTCCTGCCCCAGCCTCCTGAGTAGCTGGAATTGCAGGCCTTCGCTTCTTCTGGAAGGTGAAATTCCAGAAGAATGTGGTCACTGGCTAAATAGTAGAACAGTGGAAGGCTTTCTTGACCCTCATGGTTCATGATGGGGCATGGTCCCCCTCACCACAGAGGGACATTAAAAGAGCTCCCCTAGCTGGCTCTTGTCCCCCTGTCCCCCTTCATCTGCATGGACCCTGCTGGACTCCTTAGGCTGCTGCTGTGTGTTCCCCACCCTGCTGGGAAGCGCTGGGCCGTCTCCGTGGAGATGTGTGAGTGCAGGGCACATCACTGTCAGCTTCCGGCCCCACCAGGAATGTGGCTGGGCCATAGTGGTGTTGAGCGCATGTATAGTCACGTACCACGTAAGGATGTAAGAATCGGCACAGGCCACATAGACCAAGGTGGTTCCATAAGATTGTAATGGGGCTGGAAGATTCCTGTCCAGTGTTTTTTCCTTGACCTCTGTGTTTAGCTGCTGGAGCACATAGATACCTCACGTGCGCCCAGGGCCTACAGTGTCAGTACAGCAATGCACCACACAGCTCTGCGGCCCAGAAGCATCTGCTAGGTGCATAGCAGGCTGTGCCATCTGGGTTGGTGTAAGTGCACTGTGGTGCTCACACAGGGATGTACCCGCCTAACAGCACATTTCTCACTGGGCAATGTGACTGAAAAGCTGTCCTCCCAAGCTCCACAGAGCACTGTGGCATTTTAGAAAGAGGAAAGAGACACAAAGCCTGAACTCCAGATCCCTGGCTCTTGAACCAAGCCTGTGACCGAACTTTTGAAGACCTACTCCCTAAAGGAGTGAAGGTGTCACACCCTCCAGTTCTTAGGACATCCAGCGGGTGGGTCTGGTAAAAATGCCCGGTAGGATCCTATGTCAGCCACGCACTTATTATATGTTGGTTAATTCTTCTGCAAGTGGGAGTCTGTACATGTTAAAATTATGATTCACAATAATGACATGGCAGAGGTGAGCAAGTGAAAATACCCGTTATTCCCTGAGTGCTTCCATTTCCTCACACTGTTAACAAGATTGTACATAAACATGTTTGTGAAAAGACTTCAGTATCATGGAACAATAGCTGTGCCATAATAGCCAGTAAAAGTGGATTTCACAGTAAACACAGACATGCAACATACAAAAAGGCAAGCAAGAGCTTGTCTTTAATTTGTGTGTGTGGTTAGATAATCTGTTTACATGGCTGCAGATGCCAAAGGTACAAAATGTACTAGAACAGCCTTGTTCTGCACACTTGATTCCCCTCCTTGTAGCCAATTGCTCTTTATCATTGTCTTTTTAATCTCTATCCAGAGAGATTTTGTGCATAGCACATAGTCTGGGTATGAGTATATTCTGCCCAACCCATCACAGTGTAAGAACGGATTCCCCTGCTCTGTATCCCTAAGCAACCCAAGAGGAGAACACTCAAAATAAAAGATGTTATTAAAATAATTTTCTCTCCCTGGATGTTTTCATGCAATCAGTTCAGTTGGTGGATTTTGTTTTTTGTTTTTGTTTAAATTATATCTAAACTGTAGGGTTTGAAAACAGGAAATGCGAAATAGAAACCTTAAACCTGAGGCCTCAACATACATTTAAAAATCTCAATCCTCATGTCCCTAGGTTAAAGCCTCAATGCTGCAAATGCAGAAAACAGGCTCAATCAGTGCAAAGGCATCTAGGGGCAGGAAACAGGGATATGGGGTTTAACAATCCAGCTCCGCACTCTGTCACCCACCATGTGACCTTGAGAGGGTGTCTTATCCTCTCTGCCTTATTTCCATCAGGTGAAAGAGATGAGCTCCTATGTACTCTGGTAGTCACAAGATTTTTAAGTAAGTAAATGTGTAAATAACTTAGAATAGTGTTTGAAACTTGTTTAGGAGTTGAGTGCACTATTGTTAAACCCACCCCCGCTGTTTACATTGCTCGGATAAAATATCCAACTTCTGTAAACAGGGAAACCTGGACACTTGCTTATTTTCTCCAAGTCATTTCCAATTCTTACATTGTGTGGTTCACAATTTGTGTCGGTATCAGCCAGGCATGGTTGTGCACATCTATAATCCCAGCACTTGGGAGGCTGAGGCAGAAGGGTCATCACAAGTTCAAGGCCAGCCTGGACTACATAGTGAATTCATGAGTTCAAAGCCAGCCTGAACCACATATTGAAAACCTGTCTCAAAAAACCAAAAGCAGAACCAAACACACAAAAAAAGAATCTGGGTATGATACCAGAGGCTCTGCCTCATGTTTTGAAAAAAGAAGAGTCATAATATTTCCAGCATAGGAAAGGATATTCTAGAGAGGAGCAGATCTTGCAAAATTGTGTGTAAGATTAGTAACTGGGTCACGCACAATGAAATTGGATTGTCACGTTCTAAAAGGCTCGCACACGTGGGTATATGTGATTAAAGATGTCAAAACGGACTCCTCCCCACCATGGAGGTGATTTTTAACGGCAGCCAAGCTGTTTGGATTGGGCAAAGATGATTGTTAGAGATGGTAGGTGCTGGGATGGAAGTATCTACTTTCCAGGTTTCAAAATACAGGTTTTTACATGCCTGTCCCGCCCATTTCCCCAGCCACATGAGTCTGAAGCCTGCCGGCCTGGGCTCAGGGCAGCTTTCCTGCTCTGGGATGCGGCTTGTCCTTGCCCGTAGGTGTCATTTGGGTGGGTTTCCAATGCCAAAGAACGGGCTGAGGAGCATAGGAGATTCGGTTTCTATGGATACTGGGCCGGCTGGGATTTGCATGATGTACTTCAGAAAACAGTCTGGGAAAACGAGGACCAGGAGGTGCATAAAGGCCCAGGGAAACGAGACGGAAGGCCTGGGGAGCCAGGCTCCACGCAGACCTCTTCTAGGGACGCGAATCTGCGTCCAGCTCTGAACAGGAAGCAGCTCCCCCAACCCCGAGGAAGGAGGGCGGCGATTTGCGAACAGCGCCCCCTACTGGGCATGGCACAAGGATGCTGTTCCGCGGCCTCTTGAACTGGGCTTCAGCGCCGGCTAAGGGGCCCTTCCTTACCCTTACTAGCCCGGGAACCTACCTGTTTACTCCTGAAGCACGTCCCCTGTGCTACTGTATTCCTCACCACCAGCTGAGCACCCTGTGAGAGAGAGTCTGGAACACAGAAGGCTGGTGCAAGTCCCTGGCCAATCACCACAAAGCCAGACCTCAATCCCAAGACTCCTGGAGTTACCACCCTGCAACCCCAAAGCACCGGGGTGTGCAGCAGTAAAGGCAGCATAACGAGGCAGTTCCGTTTATGAGGACCAACCCCAAGGTTCGGATGAGGAGATGGAGAGGAAGAAGGGGCACTGAGGATCAGCCGAGGAAGCTGGGGAGCAGCTGGCTGCCTGGGGTTTGGTTTAAGTGACCTGCTGGTCACAGAGCTGGGCTGGAGGCGCGCAGGTGGGAAGATGGAGAAGGCCACTGGGAACAAGCTCATACCGTAAGAGCTGGACATGAGCTATGAGGTGTGAGTGAAAACTACGGTACGCATATAAATGGACAAAATTCAACCAAAGACACTGGCATGGATCCCCTTCAAAATCCTCCCACTTGCTTCAAACACGCTTATCCCACCACTCTTGCCACTTTCTGCAGCACTTCTGGGAGTCCTCTTTGGGGGGGTGTCTTTAGTTGCACTGTTCTGGTTGTCTCAAAATCCTAAACTGATTCAAAATGTTTTCTTTTTGTGGTCATTTGGCGTTGGGGAGGAGCCGGAAGTCGCGTAGCACCAGATCTAGTGAAGAAGTGGATGAAGACACGTTACGTTTTTACAAGTGGCAGTAGCGCTTACTGTAGTTTTGCTCACTCCTTGTAAAGACACTCAGAAAGTTCAATCTCTGGAACAACAACAAAAAAAAAGGCACTCAGGAAAGAGGACTCCCAAAGTACTTCACTGACTGGCAACAGTGATGGCTAAATGTGTTTACAACAAGGGGGAGTATTTTGAAGGGCATTCGTGGCAGTATGTCTTTCACTGTAATCATTTTTTTTTAATTTAA